AGCACTGCAGCTTGTTGGGCTTCTGGCCGTCGGTGGTGGGCGGCACGCTGATGTCCACCACGTTGTTGCCGGGGGACTCGTCATGCGCCGCGCGGTCGGCGATCTGCTTCTGGGACACGATGCGGTAGATCTCTGCGAAACGGGGAAACGGGGTGAGCGCCCATCTACCGCAGCTACCGCAGGTCACCTCTTCCAGGCAGCGCCCTGGGTCTGGGTGCCCCTGCCATCCATGGGCGCCACACTCCATCGGGGTACCGATGGGGCGGGGCTTCCCAGCACTCAAGCAGAGGTGGGGCGCGTGCTGGGGAAGGGCGGGACCCACACCTGCACGTGGCTAGTCCCCACCTCTCACTGCGGATCGAGACCCCTCCTCCCTGGTGTAGGTGGGCTCCTGGGCCCCTGGGCTCGCCTGCAGGAGCTCTTCCACCCGCAGGCCTGGCGCCCACCACCCTCCACGCCTGGTGCTCACCTGTGAGGATGTTCTTGAAAGCCTCCTCCACGTTGGTGGAGTCCAAGGCCGAGGTCTCAATGAAGGACAAGTTGTTCTTTTCTGGAACGGAGAGAGCACTGCGCGGTGAGCTCCCGCCCCTCTCCAGGCACCTGCCTGCCTGCTCGCCGCCCAGGACGTCAGGGCTGATGCTGGGGGGACAAGGAGCGCAGGACCGCGAGGCCCACGCCGCAGGGGGTGGGGACCCGGGGAGCGCGGGCTCACCTGCGAAGGCGCGGGCCTCGTCGGTGGGCACGGCCCGCAGGTGGCGCAGGTCGCTCTTGTTGCCCACCAGCATGATGACGATGTTGCTGTCCGCGTGGTCCCGCAGCTCCTTCAGCCAGCGCTCCACGTTCTCGTAGGTCAGGTGCTTGGCGATGTCGTAGACCAACAGGGCGCCCACCGCGCCTCGGTAGTACCTGCGGGCAGGCCCCGTGAGCACCTCGGGGCCCCAGCTCTGCTCCCCTGACCCAGCACAAGGACCCGCAGGGCCTCAGGAGGGAGGTTGGGTCTGGGGGTGAAAGACAGCAGAGGTCACTGAGAAAGGGGAGGAAACCACCGCCATGGAGGGAAAGGCCCCTGGGCAGATGCTGATGCCCACCGTGCACAGGGACCAGGTGACAGTGAGGGGAGTCCAGGGGACAGCGAGGGCTGGAGGGACCGATGGCGGTGGAGAATGGCCTGGGTGTTGAGAAGATGCAGGAAGAGGCAGCTTGGAGGGAGCTGCCGGCTGGGCGGCCTCGGGGAGGCAGGGGCGGGGGGGAGGGGGGTGTCAGGAGGCCCAGGTGGGAGTGGGACAAGTTGTGAGCCACAGCAGGGAGCCGGAGGGAGGGGAAGGCTGGGCGTGGGCCAGGCAGGGGGAGAGGTCCCAGCCAGCCCTCCCTGTGAAGGCCCTGCCCTGCTCCCGACGCCCGCGGCGGGACACGCACGCCGAGGTGATGGCGCGGTAGCGCTCCTGGCCCGCCGTGTCCCAGATCTGCGCCTTGACGGTCTTGCCGTCCACCTGGATGCTGCGGGTGGCGAACTCCACGCCGATGGTGCTCTTGCTCTCCAGGTTGAACTCGTTTCGGGTGAAGCGCGACAGCAGGTTGCTCTTGCCCACGCCCGAGTCCCCGATGAGCACCACTGGGGCGGGAGGGAGAAGCAAGGATCTGTGAGTCCCGGCGCGGCCCACAGCACCACCGCCGCAGGACCTGCCCGGCACAGCGTGGCCGCCACAGCGCCGAGGAGGAGCGGGGGCTGCCAGGAGAGGCACAGGGGAGAGGCACAGGTCGTCACAGGCACCCGGTCACCAGCCCCTGCACGCTCCGCCTGCAGCCTGTTGGCTGGGCGACCTCGGGCAGGTCACTTCGTCTCTCTGGGCTGCCTTTTCCACCGTGTGAGGGGACAGCAGCAGCAACGGGTGCATCTCAGGACACCCCAGAGCACACAGAAGGGACACAGGTGAGGTGCTGTCCTTAGATGCTGCCGTGGGGAGGGGATCGGTGTCCCGCCAGGGTCATACGTATGACGACAGTCTAAGTCCAGTGTTCTGTCGTGTTGTTTTAAAGAATTATTTAATTTAGGGAACCAGCAGTTGGCGTAATGGCTATGTCGCTGGACTCCCACGTAGTTGACCGCGGTTCGCGTCCCGGACCCGGTGGCTTAAAACCCACGCCGGGCACCTGTGCGTGCGTGCCCAAGATCCCAAGAGGAGAATGGAGAAGGGATTGCGGCGTGGCCACCCCCTCTGGGGGGTGATTTCTCGCTTTCTGTCTCTCTGTCTCTCTCTGTCTGTCTGGCGAGCGCACGCGCCCTATAGTGAAAAACCTCTCAAAAAAAATAAATAAATAAAAAAGAATTATTTAATTTTATTATTATTGGGGTCAGCAGGTGGCATGGTGGTTAAAGGCACTGGATTCCCACATGGCCAACCAGTTCGAGTCCTGGACCTGGCAGCTTGCTTTCTCGCTTTCATTTTCTCTCTCCCTGTGCTTCTGTCTGGTCAAATTGAAAAATAATAACGAATGGAATTAAATAAAAAGTAATTCTTTAAAAAAAAATCTTATTATTCTGATTTGCTATAGGGCATGTATATTCACCAGAGAGAGATAGAGAGAAAGAAAAAGAGGGAAAGTGAGAAAGCAAACCATGAAGCCTGGGACCTGAACCGCAGCCTGTGGGAGTCTAGGACCTTACCCACCACGCGGCCTGCTAGCCCTGGTTTTATTGGCCTGGGTCAGTCACTCACCGGCCCTTCTTCTCCACCTCTCCCTTCTATGGGAATTTTTATTATCATTATTTACATTTTTGCCATAAGGCATTTGCCCTCACCAGAAAGAGACACTGAAAGGGAAAGTGAGAAACCCTGGCAGGTGTCTGTCACATAAAAAGACATTGCAGTGTCTGGCAGAGCGTCCCAGGCCCCCCTCCATCGACACACACACACACACACCTGGGAGACCCCCTCTGGGAAACAGGTGAGGAGGGGACCAAATCTGCAGCCCCCAACGCTGACCCAGCACTCCCTCTGGGCTGGCTGTTTTAAAGCCAAGGAAACAAAAATAACAAGAACACTGGATGGGGACCAGCAGGCGGTCTGGCGGTTAAGGCACTGGACTCCCACACGGCCAACCGCAGTTCAAGTCCTAGACCTGGCAGCTTGCTTTCTCATTTTCCCCCTCTCTCTGCCTCTGTCTCTGGTGAGTGCACATGTCTTATAAAAATAATAATAAAATTAAATACATAATATTTTTTAGAGGTTTTTGCTATAGGGCGCGTGTGCTCGCCAGACAGAGAGAGAGGCAGAGAGATAGAAAGTGAGAAATCACCCCTCCCCCCGGGGGGATGGCCACGCCACAATCCCTTCTCCTCCATTCTCCTCTCGGGATCTTGGGCACACACACACCCGGCATGAGTTTAAGCCATCGGGTCTGGGACACGAATCACGGTCGACTACGTGGGAGTCCAGCGACATAGCCATTACGCTAATTGCTGGTCCCTAAATACATAATTTAAAAAAAAAAAAAAAAGATTTATTTTAATTTAATTTACTCATTCTTTTGTATTTTATTTTTTAAAAATTTTGACCAGAGAGACCAGAGAGCGAGCAAGAGAGAGAGAGACAGAGAAAAAGAAAGTGAGAAAGCAAGCCACCAGGTCCAGGACGCAAACCATGGCTGGCCACGTGGGAGTGTCCAGGGCCTTAACCACCACACCACCTGCTGGCCCCAATTAAATACACAATTCTTTAAAAAAATAAAAGGATGCTGGCTGAGTCTGCACCGAGAAAGCACTCCTGCGCATCACCTCCTGCAAGCCTCGGGCAGCCCATTTTACAGAGGAGGGAACTGAGGCTGGGGGGACGATGAGCCCGAGGGACACGTGGGGTGTGCAGCTCAATCGCACCTGTGCGTGGTTTCCAGGGTTACCAGGCTGACAGGCCCCAGGCAGGACCTGCCCCCAGGTCTGCCGGGCCCAGGCCTGAGTGCAGCCTGGCCCCCTGCTCTCCTCCAAGCCCCGGGCACAAAGCTCAGGGGTCTTGGTTCTGCCTTGTGCTGGGCACTGAGGCCCTGGGCCTGCTCCACCCGGATTTCCTGTCCTGCAGGGGCGGCTGGCAAACCCCTACTCATCCTTCAAAGCCTCTTGGACCTTTCCTCCGCCCCAGACCACCGCCTGGCCCAACCTGCTGGGCCTGTGACCACGCTGTGGCACCCAGCATGGGACTGCCAAATGGACTCCACAGGAAGAGGCAGAGGGAGAGTGAGCGCGGGCTGGAGCGGCAGGCCCATGGACTCCCAGCCTCCCTGGAGGCATGGCGATTCGGCTCCCAGGCTACGCCAGGCCAGGCTGGACTGACCATGGGGATGGCCCGTGACCCCCACCCATCCCCACCGACCCTTCTCCTCCTTCCCACGGCAGCCGCAAGAGCCTGGCCCAGGCCGGGAGGTTCCTAATCGGCACATCCTCAGGAATGGAACAGGAAACTTGGACCCTGTCCGGATACCCGCATCCTCGCTCCCTCCCTAGCCTCGCCCCAGCTGTCCCAGCCTAGGGTCTCCTTGGTCCTATCTCCTCCACACTCAGGCCAGGCCTGGCCCCAAGCACCTTGCAGACTCAGAACGTCGAGTTCTCAGAGCCACCCAGGAACCAATGCAAATATTAGTCCCACTGCATGGCTGGGGACAGGCTGCCCTGAGCGACCAGCTGGCCGGTCCAAGGTCGCTCGGCAAGGACGGCAGAGTCCAGGGCAGGGTGAGGACCGAGTGCTGCCCAGGTGAACAGCAGGGAGGCCGGCCACCGGCAGCCCCTGGCACACGGCACCTGATGCCGAGAGGTGGCCGGCGGGACAGTGGCCGGGCTGGTCCCATGCACAGGCAGGGAATGAAAACAGCATTGTCCATGGCACAAACGACCTGCTGTCCTGGGGACATAAAGGGCCCTTGAGGACACAGCCCCCGGCATTTCCACAGAAGTCGGTGGAGTCACTGGCCGGGAAACGGTCCCCGTGGACACACCACTTGGCTCACGGAGCAGGCAAGCCTGGCTGGCAAAAACAAAGTGCTGCCTCCCTCCTCCCGGGAGCCTGGGGTGCCCTGGCCTGCCCCACTGGCAGTGTGGTGCCCCATTCCAGGCCGGGCCAGGGTCCCGCCCCTCCTCTGGCCCCTGACCACCCCGGCCCCAGGAACCTGGGGAACGTTCTTGTCTCAAAGGGGGATGATGGCAGGGTTAGTGGCCAGAACAGCAACCAGGAAGACGGGTGTGGTGGGGCCTGGCCAGGCCGAGGGCTGGGGCAGCTTTGAGAGTACAGGGGACGGGCACCAGGGCTGACCCATTCCCTGGGACCCAGTACCACTCTCTCCCTGGGCAGGGCCTGGGGCCACCGTGGCCAGCTGTCCATGTGATCCGTGTCCACAGCCAGGTAGGCGCTGATTAGCTAGGGGCTCCGGGAGGGCCTTGGTGACCCTGGGGACTGAGGTGCTCCACTGTGGTGCCACAGCCAGGGTCCATCAGAGAAGTCGGAGGGGGACCCCAGGGACCAGCAGGCTGGGAAAGTGGCCCACAGCCAACAGCATAAAACACTGGAGGGTAAAGGAGAGGATCTATACTTAGGCACAGATAAACAGCCTTGCTCCTGGAGCAGGGGACCAGGAGGCAAGCAAAGAGCCCGCGGGGATCACCCAGGGGTCTGCTGGCCTTGGCTACGGAGGTCCAGGGAGCCCACGTGGGAGTGGCGAGATGCAGGACAGGGACAGCCAGTGTCCAACAAAGAGCTGGGGGGAGGGCAGCAGGGCCAGGGGCTCTCATCCCCTCTTGACCCCCCGAGGATCCCCAGGGGGCAGGGCTGGAGAGCCACACAGGGGCAGAGACAGCCCTCATATGCATGGGTGCGGTTCTGTCTCCACCTCGTCCCCAGGCCAGCCCATCGCCCTTGCTGGCCCACGGTGGACGGGCCAGCCCCGAGCCTCGGTGGGCCAGCGGGGTCTCGGAAGGGATGGCAGGGCAGAGCACTCACAGTTCTGTCAAGTTATGTGACAGGAGAGCTGGCCTGCCTGCTCGCTCCCCTCCTTCCTTCTGTATATTTTAGTTTTGCTATAGGGCATGTGTGCTCGCCATGGAGAGAGACAGAGAGAGAGAGAGAAAGTGAGAAATCAGCCCCCCAGGGGAGATGGCTGCACCGCAATCCCTTCTTCACTCTCCTCTCGGGAATTTGGGCATGCACACGTATGTGCTTGGTGTTTTTCGAGATGGTAGGTCTGGGATTCGAACAGCACACCTAGCCACGTGGAACCCGGCCACCTTAACTTCCATGCCACCTTTGGCCCCCTTCCTTTTTTTTTTAATATGTGAGAGCCATATAGAGCTTCCTTTTCCTATTTAAAGAAGTGGAAATCTGAGTGGACTTAAAGACAATTTATTTTCTCTCTCTTTTTTTTTTGGGGGGGGGGGGGGGAAGAGAGGATTTTGCTATAGGGCACATGTGCTCACCAGAAAGACAGAGAGAGGCAGAGAGACAGAGAGCAAGAAATCATGCCCCAGGGGGGATGGCCACGCCACAATCCCTTCTCTTCCATTCTCCTCTCGGGATCTTGGGCACGCACACACACGCGCCCAGCATGAGTTTAAGCCACCGGGTCCTGGACTCGAACCACAGTCGACTACATGGGAGTCCAGTGACATAGCCATTACACTAACTGCTGGTCCCCTTTTTTTTCTTTTTTCTTTTTTTAATTTTTTTAAAGAAAGAATTATTTTATTTAACTTTATTTATTTAGTTTGATCAGAGAGGGACAGAGTGAAAGAGGGAGAGAAAGTGAGAAAGCAAGCCGCCAGGTCTGGGACTTGAACCACAGTCGGCCATGTGGGAGTCCAGTGCCCTTAACCTCCATGCCACCGGGTGGCCCCAACCCTTTTTTTCCTTTTTAAATT